AATACTTGCTGAAAAGACTTGCTTAAGAGCATGAAGTCTGTTACACAATTACAATTACTGCCCAAATACAAGCATTGCACTGGTGTTACACAGGTGCTGGGGGGGTTAAATCGCAGAAGAAGGAGGGATCAGGAAGGGAGGAAAAAGGAGATGCCAAGCACTGCATCACCTGTAGTGACTCTGCAGTCACCTTCCTCTAAAACTCCACTTAATAGGACAATTGAATGAGAAAACACAGATCCTGAAGGATCAAAGAGCAGTTGCTAAACATTTACATTCCTTGAGTAAAGCTGGAATGAAAACCTGCCCTCCCTGTACATGTTTGCTGCACCTTACCTTGCTTCACATACTATGGACACCTGTACTTTGATCTGCAGTTCAGTTCCTATATGCTGCAATGGCTTAATTGAGGCTTTGAAATAAAGTAGTTGGAATAATGATGCTGAAGTAATAATCTCCTCTTAAATATTTCAAATCCTAAGTAGCACTTTATTCCCTCTGAGCATTGTGTTTCACCTTACATGGAGAAGGTGGTGCCAATCTCTGCTCCCTGATATCAAGTGATAGGATAAATGGGAATGGTTCAAAACTGCCTCAGAGGAAGATCAGACTGGACTTGAGGAAGCCTTTCTTTAAGCCTGAGATGGTTGTCAGACCCTGGTACAGCCTTCCTAGAAAGGTGGTCAGTGCCTCAAGCCTGTCAGTTTGTCATTTGGACAATGGTCTTAAAAACAAGCCTTAACTTTTGGTCAGTCCTGAAGCAATCAGGCAGTTGAACTACATACGATCATTGGTGGTCCATTTCAAATGGAATATTCTGTTCTGTTGCCAAGAGTTTGTTCCAAGAATTGGAAACAATTCCTCCATACCAGGGTGGGCACAGGAACAGGCTCCTCAGCCACATGCAGCTTCATCCTCCCCAATCCAGGCAGAAGGAGTTCTCCTGCTCTTCAAGGGACATGAGGGCAAGATGAGAGTCTCCTCCACTAAGATATTCTCCAAGATGCTGGGCAAGACCCGCAGGCCCATGCTGAGTCCCCATGGTAATAACCTTCCTGCCCACTGGAAGTCCAGAAACAGCTGGTCACAGACCAGAGGCAGCCAGTCACATGGAGCACATGACAGCTCTAGAGAAAGCAGGTCTGCTGAAGCATGTCAGGTGAGGCTGGGGCACCTGGCAAAGGGGCTCCTAAGTGGCTCCAGGAGGACAAGGGGACATCACTGCCTCTCCCATCAGCCAGATGCAAGGAACTTATGCAATGTGTGGGCAACACATGAAATTCCCTAGATATAAAAGGCAATAGCAAGACTGGAATTTCTCCACTCCCTCGCACCCCACAGATGAAGCTGCTGTCTGTTTTCCTCCCCCTTACATTTCTCAAAAAGGTCATTCCTGCCAGGCAGAGCCACACTGCCAACTCTGCCAATTTCCTGGACAAAGATGGCACCAAGGAGGGCTGTGAGTCTCCAGAGGCCTAAGAGTTCACTTAGACAACTCAGGAAAGAGAGGTTATCGTGGTTACCACAGTCCTCACATATTGTTAGAATAGGCAGCTAATTAGGTCACATTATAATTAACCTGAGCTCTAGACTTCCTGGTTTCTGCCAAAAAAATATCCATCCTGAGAGCTGCCTGCACCCAGCACTCCAGCAGATACCTGCACTCCATCTCTAGTGGAATGGGGCCAAAAAGGAGAGATGCTGATAAGAGGAGGCTTGGACAAGAGAGGGGGAAAAGTGAGCCCAACTGTGGCAGCCAGAGCAAAGGACATTATTTCTGCTTTGGAAGGATGCTCCTGGCATAGCTAGCAGCACACAGCCCCAGATGGAGAACTATATTTTGGGAAGTCCCACTTTCAGACAAGTTCTTTGCTCCCACCCTGGCGGTCACAGCCACTATCCATGCCATGGGATGCTGTGACAGGCATTCAGGGCAGCTGCTATCACTAAGACATCTTTTCAGCTGGAGCACCATGACCCAGCCCACATCATGCACAGGACTACAGACTCAAATTTAGTCTAAACTAGAGATTTAAAAGTCCCACTAGACGGATAAGAAATTTTTTTTTGGACAGGAATTTTCCTATTGGAAACCTGGCATCCTATGGCAATGAGAAGATAGTAAAGGAAAAAAATAAGCCTTTGAGAGAGGGATGTAAGAAAGACCCTGAGCTGCAGTGGCCAGGGCCAATAAGCCATACAGAAAATTAAAACCTTAATCACATTAACTCAAGCTCTGACTGACAGGAATTAAGGGGAACATTTCCTCTCCTCATGGAGCACGTGATGTCATCCAATAGAGACAGGTCACTGGCAGCAGATGGACTAAAGACCAGATCCTCTTCCACTGCAAACCTCAGGTGCCTGTAACAGTGAACACCAGGACAGAGTTCTCTGGCTTCATGTCCAAGAAACACAACAGGGGAGCATGCAGCCCACCTTCTTCCCCCTTTGGCATCAGCAGTTCCTACAGGGTATGCAATGCTTTCCAGCTACATTGACCAGCTGATTAGCATTCAACTGCAAAGCCTAGCTTTTCCTGCTTACAAGGCTGGCGTTTAATGAGCTCATTGTTGAAAAATCAGGCTGCAATTCAACTCTTCCACTTCTGATTTCCCAAAACCACCGCCATTCCTTTCCTCTTCCCTACTGAGGCAGTGCTGCTGCCCAGTCCAGGCTCTCACCCACAGATTTCAGGCCTTGCCGGCATTGTTTGTCCTCCAATCCTCACAGCACCATGTATCAGCCTTCCATAGAGGGGGACCCCCTTTAAGCACAGTCAAAAGGGACACAGGAGAGAGTGGAGCAGCAGTCCCGCCTGGACAACCTCGCTTCCCACACCAGCTGCCAACACAACGCTGCCTGTGCAACAAAGAACTCCAAACTCCAGTAAGCTCACAAAAGCCCATCGCCTGGTCTCCTGTGGCAACAGCCCGGCTGGGACAGGCAACACCCCGCAGCGCTGGGAGCCAGCAGCATTCAACTAACTCTTGATCTCCTCGCAACAATTCAGGGTGCCCAAGGCAGCTTTCAGCTAGGTGAACAATGATCTGACAATTTACTAATCTCACTTCAATCACCTCAGTAAGGTGAAGTACACCTTCACACCTTGCTCTGTGGTCCTGCCACCTCCTGTCCACAGCAGCTTTCTCCCAGTCTGGCAGCTTCTCATGGGGCTCTGAGGACACGGACACCCAGGAGCCCATGGGTCTGTGGTGCTGGAGGGAAACCTGAGCGCAGACAAAGGTACCCAGACACAGCCTAACTGCAGGAGCGAGGACATGGTCTGGAGGAGAGAAAGGGGTACGATCATGGTCTCGGGGAGGGCCAAGCCCTTCTGCTTACAGGAGCAGCTCTCCCTGCTGCTAGCAGCAACTTGACTTTAACACAAACCTTCCTGCTGGGAGGGGAACCCCATCGCAGCCCCCACGAAGCGGGTAGAAAAAGGAAACTGTGCTCAACCTTTGTTTGGGTGCATGGTAAGAAGCACCAAACCTGGAACTGTGCGCGGAGCTAGGACACTGCCAGGCAGAAACAGCAGGACAGCTGGGGACGTTCAGGGTCGCAGATGTCTCAGGAAAATGCCCAGCACCTCTGCCAGGCCCCGGGACACAGACCCACCGGGTGCCCCAGGGTGTGGGGCAGAAAAGTACTGTGTTCTCACAACCCCCCGTCCCACCCAGAGCGTCCCGCAAAGCCATAGCTCCTGGGTGCCACCACAAACAGCCACCGTTCCAATCCCAGGCAGAGCAGAGCCCGTGAGCTAAACGCAGGGCTGAGCCCCAGGCAAACTCTACGAGTCCCCCGGCAAAGCACAGGGACAATCTGGAGATCAGATGGCGCTGGGAACGCGCCGCGGCTTCCTCCAGCCCGACCGCAAAACCGCGGAGAAACGCGAGCATGCCGCCGAGAGCGGGCAGCCCTCCTCCAGATGTGCCCCCGGGGGCCGGCCCCGGGAGGGGCTGCGCGGAAAGACAGAGCCCCGGCCCCGGAGCCCACGGGCCGGACAGCGAGCCCCCCACCCCGCTCCACCCCACTCACAGGCGGAACATGCGCTCCATGTCCTTGATCTGCCGGCGGCTGAACTCCTTGAACTCGGTGTAGGGGTTGAAGACCGCGGCCCGCCGGGGCTGCGCCGCACCCTCGTTGATGTCCTGCCGCCGGCACAGCTTGGCGCTCAGCTCTGCGCCCGCACTGGCCGTCAGGCAGCTCCGCTCCTCCANAGCCTCCCGCGCCCGGGCAGAGCAGCGGGATTCCGTCGGCTCACCAGGCACTGCAGAGACGACAGAGACCAGGCTTGCCCGGCACCAGGCCAGAGGGACCCCTTAAGCCCCTCTATGCGCCTCCCTTTTCTTACCTCCTTGGTCTAAAATTAGCCTAGGACAAAGCTCGGCTTAGGCCTGGATTCTCTCTCCTTCCCCAGAGAACATGGGCAGCAGGCGGCCTCTTCCCAGCACCCAGCCCCCCCTTCCCAAGGCCAGTGCCCAATGCCATCCCTGCTGCCTCCCCGGCTCTCGCAGGGGCGTCCGGCCCGACCGCAAGGACTGTCAGGCCCTCGCCTGGCTGATGTGAGCCTGACGGCGTACCCGACATGGTATTAGGGCTGGCGTGGGGCGGTTTAGGTGGCGGCTGATGGGATTTACCCACCGGGGAGGAGGGGGAGAGAAAAGAACCAGCTCGGACACGCCGCCTGCTTATGTCTCCCGCGTGCCCGAGCCTGTGCGTCACAGGCAGCCGGTCCCAGCGTCTGTTACGTGGCTGTTTGACACCTCCGGGCAGGTAGTAAGCAGTTCTCTGATGTGGTGACCTGCAGTTGACCCTCTTGGATAAGCTCATTCCCACCAAACCTACTCAGAAAATGACTTATGAGGCCGTTTGCAGCCACCCTGCTCCTACATACTGTCTGGGCAGCTCTAGGCTGCCCCAGCGAGGGTCGGGAGGGTCAGGACGGCTGCAGGTTCATCACAGCATGTGACACAGGACAGCCACTGCAGGTATATTTCAGTATATTCATATTTCGGTATGCCCGGGAAAGGGCTGCTGTGTAGAAGGGGTGGGATGTGCTACGCCCACACCTCGTTGCCCTCAGGCGGTGCCATGTCTATGATGGAGACACGTTCTTTCCACCAGAGAGGAGTGGGGAGGAGAGCGGGGAATTCTGCCTCGGTCACCGGCTACCCTGAAGAACGATCCAACAACACAAGGCGCTTCTGTACCTGCAGGGTGCCCAGGGAAAAGAGTAGCTGAGGGTGAAATCGGCAACTGCAAAGCCAGGCTGCCATCTGGTGGAAATAAAGCTGTAGGCCACGGCTATGGGTGGGAGACAGCAGCAAGGGAGGGGTAGGAGAGGCAAGGAGAGGGGTAAGCAAGGGAAGGAGAAAGGTGGGCAAAGTAAGGCAGAGGTTTGCATGGCCTTCCCTTCCGTGATTCTCACTCCATCCCTGAAGTTGTTATCCTGGCCCCATTTTTCCTATCAGAGCCACACAGTCCTTATCCCAGCTCCAGTGATTTCAGCTGCAGCCCCAGAAACTTTATTTCTCTACCAGCTCTGATGTTTCTGCTCCAGCTCTGCATCTTCCCGATGCTGCCATGTGAAGCTGCTCCTGGATCAAGGCAGGATCTTCATTTCAGCTTCAGCTCTCTGATGCTTCAGCTCTAGAGTCCATATTCCATCTACAGCCCTACAGCGCCTATCCTGGCTCCACAGCCCCTATCTAGCCCCACAGTGGTTTTACCCTAAGCCCCACCTTCTCTATGTCACCGACAGCTCTGCTGCCTCAGCTCCAGCTCCTCAGCTTTCCACTGCCTCTGGCTAAAACCTGCTCCTGATTGTCACTTTACTCCAGGGCTGTTGACAAGGCAATGAATCAATCACTGTCATCACTTAAATATCTCTAGGAGCTGCCACACTCATCCCAATGGGGCCCCAGCTTTGGAGGCAAATGAGCACTGGTCCACAGTACACACCTTGCCCTGCACCCCACCTGCCCACAGGCCCCTCAGCCAGCATTAGGTGCTGGAAACAACTGCTCAGCCCTTGGTCCCACATCCCAAAAGGTGCCCCTCGGCTGGCTCTGAGACCTCCACTCCCAGCTTGTGGGTGGTACCATTTCTGGGAGGCCTGGAATCCCCCCTGGCAGCTCCTGTAGCCCTCAAGCTTCAGCTCCCTCCCCTTCCCCATAGGATTTATGTACCTCCACCCCCACAATTTCCATTACTCCACATCAGTTTGGGTCTAGATCCAGGTTAAGTTTCTACTGATTCTATTTTATTGTTTACTATCTCAGTTTTACATTATTCTAGTTGTATTAAGATTTAATTATACTATTGCATTGCCATATTTTTCTTTTATTCTATTTTTTAAACTTCTATTCCTAGATATATGATGTTTTAATAACATAAAGATTATAGGGCTGGGGCTGTGGGGCCAGAGGGTATGTTGAAGCCCCTGGGGCTGAATCCAGACCCAAACCAATGTGGAGCAGTGAAAACTCTGGAGCTGGATAAATCCCGTGTAGCTGGAGGTGGAATCACTGTGCGGTTTGGGTAGGGACTGTGAGGCTGTGTAACAGGATGCTTGGCCCTGAGATGTGGTCAAGCAACTCAAACAATGCCCTCTCAGCTACCAATGGTGGGCTGAGAGGCTCATCATGTGCTGTTTTTTGGTGCTGAATCATGCTAAAAACCTGGCACACTGTCTCAATCTGGCAGACCAGCCTCAAATCAACCTGCTGATAACAAGACAAAGATTTGGCAGATAAACTGCTAAACTGATCTGTAGGCATATCACTGATGGTCAACTGCTTCACACTATAAAAGTCCAGTCCACTTTCCATATAGTAGGTTCTTCTAATAGAAGCGTGTGGAGATTTTTCCATTGGGTTTTAGGGATGCTCACCAAGGATACTTCTAAAGGTTAGAAGAGATTTGTTCACAGTTGCTGGTGAGTTTCATCAGTCTCTAATAAGGGGTTTTTTGCTAGCTTTCGTAGAATTGCTTTAATATTGCTTTGATATAATGCATGATCCTATCTTGTAGAATAATAGTTTTAGCTTTTATAGTGTCTAGTAAATATTTCTGAGGTCTTTTTGTCTAATCATTTATCATAATAAATAATTCATTCTCATAAAAATATATCTGATTTGCTGTCGTTAAAACCTGTGGGCCAAAGTTGTAAAACTTTAATTGTTGGCAAAGTCCAGAGCTGGGACTGTTTACAGCTGCCCCAGGCATCTCTCTCTGAGAAAGCAAAGGAATCCTTTTCTGCACCTTGTGACACAGTGGAAGGGCTTCTTAAATAAATTTTGTCTGAAGTTACCACTCCCACCCGTGACAGGCTGGAGCTCAAATGTGGATTCTAGAGCTGGAGCTGAAACATGAGAGAGCTGGATGTGAAAAGAAGATCCAGCCCTGATCCAGGAGCATCTTCACCTGGCAGAGGTGGGAAGATCTGGAACTTCACCTGGCAGTGGTGGGAAGATGTGGAACTGAAGCTGAAGC